CCCTCTCTCTCTCTTTCCACTCCCCCTTCCTTTTTCGTCTTCCTTTCGCTGTCTCCTCTTTGGAATGTTAGTCTTTAAGATTTTCAATCCCGGAAGTTGCGTTAAGTTGTCTCGTTTCCTTATAAAATTTGTTTAGGACCGATTCTAAACTCGTGGATTCATTTTCAGGTGACCAGTTTCTCCTCATAATAATGTTGGTCAATAATGACCCGACTCTAACTATTCCCCACTACATCATGATATCTTGCAATGTGAATTTTTGTAAAATAACAGTCAAGGCTTTTCGAAAATGCAACTCAGTATCAATAACCTGAACGAATCAACTCCTTATTATTGTGCGAACATTCCCAAATGTGCTACCGGTATTTTGTCCACATAGAAATGGACACACCGCTCAGCGCAATTTAATCAATGATAAATGCATTTTAATTAAATGACTTACCATAGTTTCATCTCACATAACCTTTCATCCTATCATATTCATAGAATATTTACGTCGTTTATGGTGTAGCAGTTAGGCGCTTCCCCATCGCTCGCAGGAGACCCAAGTTCGATTCCCGAGTGGGGAGTAATGTTTGTCGAGAATTTCGGTCTTTCTGCTGGTACGTTGTAACCATCTCAACCCGGGTTGGCCCTAGCCCGCCTCCTAAATGATCTAAATTGTGTCGATGGGGGTATTAAACACTTTTCAAAGAATATAGAATATTCGGTGAATTATTTTTCCTCACATTTTTATTATGATGTGCCTTTGCGTCACTTTGTGGTCTGGAGATGCGTCATCTAGAACTAGCGCGAGGCGACTTTGTGGTATGGGGTTTGGTTCTAGTGGAGTTGATGCCCTAAGAGACACAGAAATATGTGAGGCGTCGAGAGGAATTAAGGCGCTCGTCAAAATTATAACATCCCAGAAATCGACTTTTTCGGCCAGTTTGGAAATGTTTTTTTCCAATTATTGTTTTTCGGCTCAACACCTTTCTCGGCTGCTATTCAAGATAAATGGATATTTTTTTTTATAGAAAGCAAGGCAAATGAACAACCTTTAAGACGATACCAATAACTCCTTAATATGCGCCAAAATTGATGAGCACCTGGTTCCACTGCGTCGTGACACATACGATTTCAAAAGCTGGGCGTCTGGTTCCATGCTTCACGAAAATATGGAAAGAAAAAAGAAAAAAGAACCGATGCAACAAAGTAAATATCACACTTTCTTGTCCAGGTTTGAATGTTCAGAACGTGTCATTGACTTATGTAGGCGAGACATAGGTGTTCAAAAACATACTTATTCAAATGAATACCTTGAGACACGATTGACAAAGAACTATGGCGGTCGATACATTTCTTTTAATGAAACGTTTTTAATGTGACTGAACTGAATGTGCTAAATACTTTTAAAAAGAGTGTGGTCTCTATATTAAAATCCGCTATAAGAGCTTTTCATTCCCAAATTTTATTCCATTATGGCATTACGTCAAGCCACTTTAAACATTTTGATCAGTCTGGAGAAAAAGATAAAACAAAAGGAGTTTTTTTTCCAAACAATTCAAATCCGGGAACAAACGATATCTTTTAACAATTACTGCACAATGGTAAGCTGATATAGTTTTTCTTTTTTTGCTCTAATGTATGATACTGTTTTACTTTAGCTAAAATATCATTAAAACAAAACAAAACAAAACTTGGGGGGGCGGGGAAAGGTTAGGCGGTGAGCTCAATAATTTAAATGACAAATTAAGGTTAACGCGAAACACTCGAAGTCTGTTCAACCAAGAAGGATTGGTAGATAGATAGATAGATAGATAGATAGATAGATAGATAGATAGATAGATAGATAGATAGATAGATAGATAGATAGATAGATAGATAGATTATAGATAAGATATATCATATATATCATATTTTTACTTATATTGTATTTATATATATGTATTATATATATATATATATATATATATATATATATATATATATATATATGTATATATGTGTGTGTATGTGTGTGTGTGTGTGTGTGTGTGTGTGTGTGTGTGTGTGCATGTGTGTGTGTGTGTGTGTGCGTGCGTGTGTGTGTGTGTGTGTCATAAATAAGAAACGCCTTGAAAGGTTTGACTCCATTATTTCTTTTCCCAGTCTCTGCGTATCATTAACTTTAGCAAATGTTCTACAAATCAGAAATGTCGTGTGCTACTGTGTAGGTCGTGTGCTCAGATACTAATATAATTTTCACCGAAACTCTGCTTTCATTCACTGTATAGTAAAGGTCAACGTACCAATTAGCTCAAAACTGGTCCAATTAAACCACCTGAAAATATTCCGAATCGAGACATTTGCAAATGAATGCACACCCGAAGAAAATCCACCTTGAAACTGAAGCTGCTTTGACCGTGAAGTTAGAATTGTCAAACAAATTTTATTCGGTCGACTGAAACACCCACTCAAGTTATCGTCATGTCATCGAGTATAATAAGCCTTTTCGTTATAAATGATTCTACAAATAGCCTACTTACCAGGGGGTTCAAGAAGTCTTTGGTCTAAGCATTAAGGAATGCAGATAGAGCTTTGTAACTTGGCACACATACTTTTGTTTCTCTACGTAGTCACCCCGCAGAGTATCACATTTCTGCCACCTCTCTTTTGACCTTCAAAGTCCTTGAGAGAAAAATGACCCAGAATGGGCCCCTAACTAGTCTACAACAGCTTCAATGGCGTCCTCGTTGTCACGGAAACGATGTCCTTTGGGAGATATTTTTTTTAAGATTAGAAAAGGAAAAAAGTCTGAGGGGGCTAGGTCTGGTGAATAAGCTGGATGTGGCAGAATT